GCCCAGTCTGGGATAATCGTCATTAATCTCTACTAAATAAAATTAAATAAATATGAATGTGCTACGGATTAATTGATAAAAATTAAATAGACAGGACGTAACGCGAATTCAGATAATTATACACGTTATTAATAAATAAATAGAATTAATAAAATAAAAAAAATGAAAAAAATGAAAATAAGAATAGGTTAAATAATAATATAAATAAAAATAAAGATATAGTGGCAATCATCTAAAGACATTATCAAAAGTTGCCAATCTTTAAGTGCTGATACTTTATTAAATATGGGCTATTTTACCAAAAACTCTCTATTTTTGCAATATTCTAGACATGAAAAATAATGTAATAGAAAGTTTTTTTTTTGAGTTATTTAATTAAAAAAAAGTTATAATGGTTTAAAGTTGGGTAACTTTGCTATTTTATTTGAAATTTTGGCAACTATATATCTAAACTGCAATTTACCAATTATTCACGTGACAAAGTCACAGATCTTTTACAAATTTGGATTTATTTTATTTATTAGATTCTTTATAAAGCAAGATCAGCATAAAAATTTTGGCAAGTGGCGCAGCACGTGATGTCTTTAGATGATTCGCACCATACTACAATTATGTACAGTCATACCTCTTTTATATCCCCCCTGATTTATATCCCAACCTTGATTAAATCCCACAAATGAGCCATGACGGTTTTCCCTATATTATTTTAATATAAACTTTACCCCATTTATATTCCATTGAGTTATATCCCTATCCCCAATTTTCTGGCATCGTTATATCCCCATTTTAACCTTATTTGTACATGATATACATGTGTAACTTATAATTTATATACTACTATATATAATATAGTCATAATAAAGTATTTTCTTTTTTAACAACAAAAAATTAATTACTATATAACTATTTGTTTTCTTGATGGTAATTTTTGCATTCCTTTAATGAAGAAGAAGGTATTTTTAGGTGGCAATTTGGTTTATTCCTTTAATGAAGAAGAAGGTATTTTTTAGGTGGCAATTTGGTTTATTCCTTTAATGAAGAAGAAGGTATTTTTAGATGGCGATTTGGTTTATTCCTTTAATGAAGAAGAAGGTATTTTTAGGTGGTGATTAAGGTTTCTAGTCAAACTGTTTTCTCAAAGCCCAAACTAGTTTGGGCAATTTGGGCTTCTCAACATTTTCTATAAGCATGAACATTAAAAAACTATATGAATCAACTTGTTTTAACTTAAACAACTTTAAAATAATTTTGCCCAATTTCAGCTAATAACAAAAAGTAGTTTGGGCTTATAAAAAAATAATTTTGCCCAAAGTATTTGGGCAATTTCAGCTACTAATAGAAGCAGTTTCGACCAGAAACCTTAGTGGCGATTTGGTTTATTCCTTTAATGAAGAAGAAATTATTATCAATTATTGAGGATTTAATTTATTCCTTTAGCAACAAAGAGTTATTGAATATTGTTTTTTTTGTGTTAATTGGTTATTCCTTTAATGATAAAGAAACTAATTGTCAAATTATTCTTTTTTAGGCGGTATCTTGGTTTGTCCATTTAACAATGAAATTTATCAATCATTATTTCTTTTGGTGGTGACTTGGTTGATTCTTTCAAAAACAAAAGGAATTAATTATCAATTATTCTGATTGTTTTGATGGTGATTTGTTTCTTAACAATAAAAAAATTTTTCGTGGCAAAGTATCTTCTTTACATGTATAAAATAACTGTTTTGACTTAGGCATAACATGTACATATTTTTACCTTAAAAAAAAAAATTTAATAAATTTACAAAACCTAATTTCAAAGAATTTACCTTTTTCTTTTTGCATAAATTGGTTCATCAAATAATGGATAATAAAAAAAGAAAGCAAAGAATCCCACTTTCTCTAGAAGACAAAATAAATATTATTAAAAAGAAAGAAACTGAAATTAATATAAGTGATGAAGCTCTTGCATTAGAATATAATGTTGACCGCTTCACAATCAGTGGTATCATCAGAAAAAAAGAAGATCTCTTAAAAATTTACTCAAATGCTAAAACAAGTGAATTGAAAAGAACTAGGATCCAACCAAGTCGATTTCCAGTGTTAGAAGATGCATTGTATAAATGGTTCCAAGGATTACGTAGTCAAAATATACCTGTTTCCCAAGAGCTGCTGAAAAAAAAGGTTATGTATTTTTACAATGAAGTGAAGAATAGAGGTGTGCAATTTCCTCAATTTGAAGCATCAAATGGATGGTTAGAAAACTTTCAAAATCATATGGGATTAGTAGTAAAAATATTACTGGTGAAAGTCAATCTGCTAATCTTCAAAATGTTGAAGAAGGAAGAGCAAGATGTCATATATTATTGGCTGAATATGAATTAGATGACATATACAATGCAGATGAGACAGGATTATTTTTTTGGTTAGCACCAGATCAGACACTTGCAACAATAAGTGATCAAGCAAAAGGATATAAAAAAGATAAAGAAAGAATTACAATCCTTTTTTGCTGTAATGCAAGTGGAAAAAATAAAATCAAACCTCTTGTTATTGGAAAATCACAAAAACCCAGATGCTTTAATAATATTAACATTAAAACATTACCTGTCAGATATCCCAATAACAAAAGTGCTTGGATGACAATGCAATTATGGAATAATTGGTTGAAATGTTTTGATTTCACATTAGAGAAAAAATCAGTTTTGTTGATTGATAATTGTCCTGCTCATACTGATGGTTCACACCTTGGTCTTAAAAATTTACAAGTAATATATCTTCCTCCCAATACAACATCTCATATTCAACCATGTGATGCTGGAATCATTCACAATTTTAAGGTCAATTACCAGAATACACTTGTGTCAAAATGGATTAAAGATCTAGATGAAGGAAATGAGATTAAAAAAATAAATATTAAGCAAGCAATTGACATTGTTGGAGAGGCTTGGGATAATGTCAAAGAAGAAACAATAAAAAATTGTTGGAAAAAAACAGAAGTATTACCACCAAGCAGAACATTAGAGATTGCAAATGAACCTACATCAAATGATATTCTTGAAGAATTAGTTGATGGTCTTAGAAAAGTTAATATCAATTGTACAAATAATTTAACAATGTCAGCTGAAGATTTTGTTAATATTGATTCACGTGTTATAATGACTGAATTACCTACTGATGAAGATATTGTTGAAGACATTCTCATTTCAGAAGGTGTTCATGTTGAAGAGGAAGATGTGAGCGAAGAGAGTGAGGAAGAATCAGTCATGTCTATAAAAGAAGGAAGGAAAGTACTTGAAAATGCCAAAAAATTCTTGGAACAACAAGAATTTGCTACAGAAAAGGATATTAAGTATGTTAAAGAGTTAATAAAACGTTTAAATAGTTTTGAAGATAAGACAAAATGTCAATCTTTGTTGACAGAATTTTATTAATTTTATTGTTATATTAAATAAATTTTTATATTAAATAATTTTTATTTAAAAAATTGAAATCACGTGAATTATCAATTGCTTGAGTTATATCCCACCTTAGTTATATCCCACAAAAATCCCAAAACAAAAGGGGGATATAAAAGAGGTATGATTGTATCAGAGAAATAGAGCATTTAGGAAAATGACTATACAAAACAAACACTATTTTACAACTTTCCTCTTAACATCAGAGCCCAAATGCAATTTCAGGGTCACCAACCCTGCTCTGAATTGCGACCTCCTGGTGCTTGAAACAAGTTGCAGATTCTTGTTGCTTTGATGGATCTGGATATTTACATGGCACTACAATTCATCAGCAGGGTTGCGACTTGGTCACAGAGCCATCCTTGCCCTAGAGGTGGGATCGTTGCAGGCAACTTTTCAACCAGCGTGCCAGCAGCCTTCTCTGGTCAGGGAGGATAGTGAAAGTGTCATTGACGATTGATGCAGCCTCGTAAATTCCAGGGCCAAACATCCCTCCCCTGGAATTCTGTTGCATCATCATATCATTGAGGGTGACTCAATCAGATTAGCCTTGTGCACACGAGGAACGTAAGAGAATGACTGTAAGTGTCAAGGTAGCATGCGTGCTTCAACGCTTGTAAATTTCCGATAATCAAACATTGCATATCAAATTGTTTCTTTTTCAACAGTCAATGCTGCCTTGACATCTTGTGATTATAATAATAATATTATTATTACAATTATGCAAAGCAAAATATTATCGATAAAAATCTTGTAATTACCAAGCAAGATCTGCTCCGCGTTTTGAATTCCAATTAAAATATTTATAAGCTAAAATAAAAGACACCCATACATATCAATACAAATAAAAAGTAGTACCTCTAGTTAATTATTAAAACATATTCTTTAGGAGACCAAACTAAACCAAACACAACACTCACGTTTTGTCACCTTGGACTCTGTCAAAAAATAAATTGTTTTTTGTTTTTCCAAAAAAAAAAAAATATCAATTCGTGTCTGTCCTACCAAAAAAAAAACCAATAGGATAAATAATTAATGTGTGCGTATTGATCAAATAACACATTTCTTTTTTTTTATTTCATAAAATAAACAATGTATAGTCAAAATAAAAGAAGAAATAAAGGAAGAAACGAAGAATTTGAAAGAGGATAAGTGTTTTAAGGATGGTGGTGGTGGTTATTGCCAGCCACTTGTCGTTACTCTAGTTTCTTTTAAAAAAATATAACAATGCCAAACAATCGAAGTCAAAGTAATAAAAAAAGAAGTCGCGAAGACCATCATAACCAAGAGATTATTCATGGGTAAGTGTTGTTTATTGTAAAAATGGTGGTGGTGGTTATCGCCACTTGTTGTCCCTCTAGTTATATAATAAAAAACAGATCGTAGGTTATATATATTGGACTGCTATAGTTCCGGTTTATTCAATAATTTGGTTTTTACATTTTTTATGTGGTAACAGCCAAACTCGGTCTGAGGAGAAGATAAAGAAACAGACAAATGAAACCTTGAACAGTGAATTAGGAAAGCAGGACAAAGAAGATGAAGTTTTTTACACAGAGAAAGATGCAATACTGGTATAATTAATTTTAATATGATATGATAAATAAGTAGAATCATCAATTTAATCATCATGTTTCTTTAGAGGGACCTTAATCAGGCATATAATGATGACAAATTCACAGAAGAAAACTCAATACACAAAAATAATCTGAAAAGGAAGTTAGAAGATGACGAATTACCAGATTATGATGAATTGGCATTCCTATTTAATGATGAAAATGCTCTCGGGGAAGAAAGCAGATTGCCATTAGCGAATGATAGTAAGGTAAACTTTATTGGTATTCGTGAGCACACAGTATATTGAGTAGGCACAGTATATTAAGTAGGCACATTATTATCTTCGACAGGATTCATCCAAATTTATATGTAAAGACATGTTGAACGCATTCCGAAAATATCAAAATAAAATCCCTAAAACTCACGGGGTATTCACATAAGTTTTAGTAAATTTTTTTTTTTATTGTTATTATCATGGTCTGATTATTAATGCATTTTTTTACTTCATCATTCTGTAGCCCTGCATATTGGGGAGTGCTTGATTTAACCAAAGAAAGTCTATATGGATGTGAAGAAATTATGCTTTCTTTTTCCAACATTTATTATTTCTTTCTTGGTAAATTTCATAGGTAATCCTTTCTTTATCTAAATATGTTTGCAAGGATTTAGTATCTGCTAATTTAAAAATATAAGATGCAATTTTTTCACCTTGTTCCTTCTTCAAAATACTTCTAATGGTGCTGTAATTCTTTAGTTCCATAGTAGATCTGATGTAAATTAGTTTCATATTAACTATTTTGTCTAGACAAATATCATTGATCACATTACATTGGTAATACAATTGTGATGTTAAAAAATGATATTGACCCCCGAAATTTTGGTAATACCAATGTTCACTTTGTTGCAGTATGCCCCATATGTTTGTTATTATAAAAATATTGAACTACCATAGTATTGAGCAAAACTGCCTTTTTTTCAAAAATAGTTTTAGCCACCATCAATAAATAATATTCTTTATCAGTTAAAATTTAAAAATATACACAATCTTGGATTAGCATATAGTTTGGGCAATTAGAAAATTTTTTCCAAAAACCCATTATATTGAGAAGAATCTTATCATTATTTTCTTATTTTTTATTAAATCATTCTTGGACCTCAATCCATTAAATTGAGGTACACTAAATTGAGATTCACTCTAATATAAATTTAATATGTAACATAAATTGAAAAAAACAATATTATTGAGTTGGACTTTAACTTTCATTCCATTCTATACAGTATAGCTGATTTTTTAAAAATTGTGAGGAAGTCACTATTCTGAAAAATGAGAAATTTACTATATATGTATGTTATCTTAAACAATCTGCAAATTAATATTATTATCCCTTAAATGGTTTTTTGGCTGTTGATAGCTGATATTTTTTCAAAAACTTTTTCTGGGGGTATCACTTCCTGGTGTAAAAATGATCTTTGAGATTCAGCTGATTGATCTATAAATAAAAATTCGGTTACCGTCCTTGTGGCTTTGGCTGATCATTATTTTGTGTTACCATTAAAAATACTCTTTACTCTGACCATTTATAGGATAGTAATAGTATTTTCTGTTTTCAAATACACATTCCGTGATTTCTGCCATTTGAATACTTCAATATTTTATTGTATTGTCTAAATATCTACCAATTTCATCCAAATGTTTACTAATGATTGAGTTATTGTGTTTTTGTATTCTAAGCATTACATTAAAAAGTAATCTTGCTTGCTGTATTGAGTTAGATTCATTATTAAGATTTCGAGCATCTTGAACTTCTGATGAGGTTTCATTTAAAGAAATACTTTCAAGCAATACTTCTTTTTTTACTTTTTCTTCATAAATTATTTATTTTTTAGTATGGGTGTGAGAACTAACAGTATTTAAAGATGATGGACTCGATGATGATGTTTCTAGGCTTAGTGTAGGACTACAAATATAACAATCATGATCGTTGTGTGCCCTTTAATTCTGGATCAATAGTATAGTTTTTTGATAGTGAAATAAGTGAGTTGATCCAATAAATAAAAGGAAAAACAGATTTATCTCTAGTTCAGGATTTATTTGGCCAATTAATTGATTTTTCTGCAAAATAATCCAGAAACCTGTCCTATTAAAGCTGTGTTGACTTCAAAGAAAGGTTCTCTATGCCATTAATGAATGGAATGGAATTGGTGCAATATAAATGTGTCCAGAGTCACATTGCCTGTTTAATAATATTCTTAAACCAAAAAGTTAATAGGAAGACAAATTATCATCAACACTTACAAATTGAAGCTGACTACTACCTGACATTTCAATGAATATAAATTTATTAATTAATTATGACAAAAACATTTTGTCAGGTATCATTTAATCATGACATTTAACTTAGTAATTGTCAATTAGTCATCATTTATCATTCTACTTTATTTTATTTATTGGATAAAATCATGTAAAAAGTTATTTGTAATACTTCAAAGTGTAAATATGCTTGAAATCTCCTTCAGCGAAAAAAAATTAATCAACAAAAATAAATAATTGATCTTTCAATAATAACACTTTTCATTAATTGATAAATCTGGCATGATTGATTGATTCATAACCCTTTTTGATGATTAATGGCTTGGCCAACATTTAATTATTAGTTAGGAACCCCTTTTATTAGTTTTACTATATTTCTTGTAGGGACGCCTCAAGTAGTGTAGTTGTATGTTGTATATGGTGATTTTAGTTTAGTTTGAACATTATTGGCTGTACGCCAGATTTGGTGACTCTGCAATAGAGTAGAGTTTCTATTCGTAACAAATTTTTGTTTGAATTACTCGTTTTCTTTGAATTATTATCATTCCTTTATCCGAATTGTTATCATTAATTTATTATCCGAATTGTTATCATTCATTTATTCGAACAATTCATTTATTCATTTTATTCGAACTATTCGTTTATTCGTTTTATTATTCAAATCGTTATCATTCGTTTATTATTTGAATTGTTGTCATTTGTTTATTCGAATTGTTATCATTCGTTTTATTTGAATTGTTATCATTCGTTTATTCGAATTGTTATCATTCGTTTTATTTGAATTGTTATCATTCGTTTATTATTCGAATTATCATCACTCGTTTATTTGAATTGCTATCATTCGTTTATTCGTTTTGTTCGAATTATTCATTTTATTCGAACTGTTCGTTTTGTTTGAATTATTCGTTTAGTTCATTTTATTTCGAACTATTCGTTTATTCGTTTATTCGTTTTGTTTAAAATATTCGAATTATTCGTTTTACTCGAATTATTTATTTATTTTACTAATTTATTCGTTTTATTCGAACTATTCATTTTATTCGAATTATTCGTTTATTTGTTTCATTTAAACTATCGATTGAATTATTTATTTTGTCTTATTTGGAATTATCTGTTCATTCGTTCTATTTGAATTATCGAATTATCGAATTATTTGTATTCATTTTATTCGAATAAACTTTCAATGTAATTCGAATACTCAAATTCATAGCAAGTAAAACAAATAATTTGAATGAACTTTATTCGAATAGAAACCTAATCGAACAGTATAGTTTACATAATGATTTTAATTGTTTGCCATATTTGGTGACCCCAATAACTCAGATCACATGCTTGCAATATTTATTACAGTTTTATGACTTTAGGGTGTCAATGCTGAATTGTTGTAGTTCAGATAAAATTTAGATAAATCTAAATATTAATAATATTAATATATGTAATAATACCTATTTGTGCTGAAAAAAAAGTTCTTTAAAAAAAAATTTTTTTTTTGGCAAATTATACAAAGATCATAATGGAAAACACTTTGGATGAAAATAAACATCATGACGATACTTCTACTGATGAAAATGATAAATTTTTTGATGAAAAATATGAATGGTTTGGAAATGTCCAACCTGCAATAGATATAACACCGATTGGGCATGGTGTCAATCATGCGATCCAAAACTATTAACTGAAGGATGAACTAGTGGCAATGAAACATTAGATGAATTGATTAAAAGTACACAACTTAAAGCAACAAATTATGGTTGTGATTATTATCTTCAATGGATTCCTTATAATGTTTTAACAAATACTGAAAAGATGGGTGAAGGTGGGTTTGCAACTATATCCAAAGCTACTTGGTTAAATGGTGAGATATGTATGAATGATAGTGAAGGCAGGTCTGTGGCATTAAAAAAGTTACATAATTCACAGAATATTTCTGATGAATTTCTTAATGAGGTAAATTATTTTATTTTTCTATTTATTTTCAGATTTTTTAATCTTATTCTGAAATTCAATATATTTTTTAATAGTTTAGAAATTATGCTACATTTCATGGTAAATCATTTATAAATAAAATTTATGGATTAACACAAGATCCAGCTACAAAAGAATACATCTTTGTAATGGAATACATGAAGGATGGAAGTCTTCAAGATTATGAAGATCCATATATTGGAAATGAAGAATATAGGAAATGTCCAACCTGCAATAGATACAATACTAATAAGGAATGGTGTCTATCATGAAATCCAAAGCTATTAACTGAAGGATGGACTAGTGGCAATGAAACATTAGATGAATTGATTAAAAGTAAACAACTTAAAGCAGCATATTATCATTATAATAACCATCTTCAATGGATTCCTTATAATGATTTAACAAATATTGAAAAGATTGGTGAAGGTGGATTTGCAACTTTATCTAAAGCTACTTGGTTAAATGGTTATAAAAGTATAAATTATGATAATGAAAGGACTAGCAAAGATATGCCAGTGGCATTAAAAAAACTACATAATTCACAGAATGTTTCTGATGAATTTCTTGGTGAGGTAAATTATTTTATTTTATTCAGATTTTAAAATATTATTGATTATTATTATTGTTGTAATTAAATATTTTATTCATTATTTTAGCTCAAAAATTATACAAAGTTTCATGGTAAAGTTTATATTTATGGGTTAACACAAGATCCAATTACAAATGAATATATCTTTGTAATGCATTACATGGAAGATGGAAGTCCTCAAAATGATGAATATTCAGGTAAAAGACATGAATGGTATGGGAAATGTCCAACCTGCAATAGATTTAACACCGATTGGACATGGTGTCAATCATGTGATTTAAAACTATTAACTGAAGGATGGACTAGTGGCAATGAAACATTAGATGAGTTGATTAAAAGTACACAACTTAAAGCAA